CGAAGAGTACCGCTATTTATTTGATAATGCATTGAGTTATATAGATACCCAGTCCGACTGGGTCACCCAGTCGCACTGGGTACCAGTCCGACTGGTACCCCAGTCCGACTGGGTACCCAGTCGGACTGGATACCCAGTTAACTGGCACTGGTGCATACCTAATGGTGTAGGATTATATACTAATTCTTACCGAAGACAAGGTCCTGATTACCAAACTTAAAATTCATGGTTTTATTTTCAGAAAATCGTATCCATTTTCAAGCTCAAGGATCAAACTACCATTAGTATTTTTCATGGAAGCAAGAGTGTGATTAAATAGATCATCAATGGAATGCGAAATTTCGTTTATAAAGCAAAAGAGGTGTCACACATATCTGCATACCAGAAAAACGACCTAAAATAGGCGAAATGAAAAGACGAACTGCGCAAAACATTTGACTGATCACTGCATTCTTGATCATCAAATATTTCGTCGAATGCAATACAGAAGTTAGCGTTTTTATAGATCAATATTTTTGTATTTGTTTTAGGCTAATTCTTATTTTCGACTAGCCATTCCAACAATATAAGGATAGAAAATAAGGAAAAAAGCATCAACTTCAAATACAACAGCAACTGGAACAAACAAAGCAAAGCAACGCATAAAACATTTGATTTTTCATTGATTCTTCAAAGAATTGAAATCAATAAGAGGGAAGACGTTCTTGGCGAACTTTCAATCGTTTGGCTCGGTAATCATGAAAATAAAATAATGGATGATATTATGTGAGTAAATTTACAAGACATTGATGGATACCATCGATACTTTGTCTCAAACGATCAATGTCTCCAATATATTGAAGATCAAAGTTTAGACAAGAAAATTATTTTGGTTGCCGAAGATAATTGCGCTCGAAAAATGATTTCCCAGATTGAGAATTTACCGCATGTTTTGTTAATATGTGTCTATGTCATTAATCATGTTAAAAATAAACAATGGACTACTCATTACAAAAAAAGTAACGAAAAACGAACTTTGTGTTGATACCATAGACAAAGTCATAGTTTAATCATTCCAGATTATACAAATAGCAACGAATATTTAGGATTTAATTTCAAAGATTAAGTATGATTAAAAAAAAAAGCAACGTGAAATAATTCCAAATACAGCTACAATTCCATCAGTAATACACAAATCAACAAGTAAAGAAAACAAAAAGTTAAATTCTCGATGGATATTAAGGGAGACTTTATCTTCTTTCAAACCGTAATCGAAACATTAATACACACGCCATCATCTTCATTCGACCAAAGCAACTTTCTTAATTTCCTTTGCCAGAAATATTCGATTTATCCTTACAATCTTGACAAAGTCGATCAATTTGAACGGGACAAGTCACCTGTAAAAATAATTTCATGATAAGCAAACAATACTCTATTCTTTCGGATATTAAATGAGTCGCTGAGAAAGAATGATAGCAACATTATACACAAGTTTTGTCTGTTTATTATTGGTTTTTATACCAACAGCTTAAGGCGTTACAAAAACAAATTATAAGCTATATTGACCAAGTTTATCGTTTTCAATGTATTTCAAACGACGAATTAAAAAACATCAGGTCATCGAGAAATCATTGCATTTTTTTGAGCAATTTTTTCATTAACATCAATTTTCTGAAGACTTAGGCCCAGTAATATCCGAAATTGTCCTTGAACAAATGGCGGCAAGTATTACGAAAGCATCTGCTTTGTTAAGAAACAAGATGAGAACGATCTATGCTGGTTGATTGAATTAAAACTATGTAGTAAGGATCGTCTACCAATAAAAGATTCATTGAATCAAATAAAAGCAACGATGAAAAAAGAAACAGACTGATTTTCAGTAGCTAAGCTAGTGCATACAATGGGAAAATATGATGACGCTCGACGTTTCCATATTCAAACATTGAAAACATTAGCTGGCAATGTCTTTTTGACTTCTGCCGAAGGTTATCATGGTTTGTCTGGCGTTTTCTTCACCCAAGGTAATTATGATAAAGGAATTTCATCAATCCTTAAAGCAATTTTGTTATATGAACAAGTTTTCAATAATGATTTGAGTATTGTAGAGTGTCATAAAAATCTTAGCAGTTTTTACATAAGAAAAGTGAATGATAAATCTGCTAGAGAGTACATGGAAAGCGTCCTGCATTAGCTTATTATAATATTAGAGTTATTTATTGTCGTTTAACACAATACAATTTATCATTGCATTATCATCAGAAACAATTCAAGATTCAGAAACATACGATTCTGACAGATAGTATTGAATATTGGTATTACATATCTAAATATGGATGAAGAATACGAAGAACATGGTGAGTTTGATAAAGTATTATCTTATTATAGTAAAACAAGTGACGTTTTTCACAATACATCATTATTATCCGAGAATGATGCAACGATAGGATTGAACCAAAATATAGAATCAACTAATGAAAACAAGGAGCAATTCTTTATTACAAAGACCTTGATGAAACGCTTAGCTTGCTATTCTTTTGAGAAGTTCATTCTAGCTTTATTTATACTGATTATTCTTCATTGATGTTTCCAAATTATGATAAATACACTAAAACCAGACTAATGATTGGTATACGAGACTCAAAAAAAAAATAGTGCATGCGATACCACTACTTCATATTCACGTAAAGGATTTTTCCATAGAATGTGTACGAGTATGATAACTGATTGTCATTCAACTCCTTTCAGTTCGTTTTCATTTGATAGACAATAGAATATTCAATATTTAAAATGATATCTCCATTAGTACTTGTTGATCTTGATAATGATCCGCTAAGAAAACTCAGCTTCTGACATAATTCTTCAGAATTAATTAAATGATCATAATTAACAGCCACAGGAATTTTTTTCTAATGATGTTTTTTCTTTTATTATGAAAGTAGCTTTTCATATGCGAGAAGTGATGAGTGAAAGAGTCACATCTGATTTTGTATTCATAACTGATAAATTTTGAAAAAATAAAAAAAAACAACAAGCTATATCTCTGATTTCGGATTTTACCTATTTAAATGAATGATTGTGCTGATATAATCGTATTACCCTTTTAGGATGCCTCATTGTAGTACTGTGTAAGTGCTCCTTCCTTGTGGTGCAATAATATCTAGCCTTACTGATACAATGATAATAACCTTTAGTGCATTGCTCTTCTTTCGCTTGTTTGTGTTTTTATTATCTCTTTCATTCCTTCTTTTGTTCACGTTTCTTTCCCCTGTAGGAGTGTATATAGGTGTATTGTATGTGATATAGATACACTCGGAAAATATGAAATACTTGAATAAAGAATACGATCGAGTGTAGCAATAGAGCTATAACTGTAGTGTTTCGTTACATTGATTATTTTCTTTTATCAGTTCTCAGTAGAACAAAACATTCTAAAAAGTATTGAGGAGATCTTTTGTTTTTGTTATTTTTGTTCGCTTTCTCTGGGCTCAATAGAAAATTCATTATGTTCCGATCAATGTAGAATCAACATACACATAATCTAGTATAAAATCGTTCTATTCTTCTTGTGAATTATGGGCATGAATGCGAGTGTTAGAGGAGTAGTGAGTAAGGTTGTAGACTATGCGTAACTCTAGAAGTATCATACTGGTAAAGCCTAATAATTATATACTATATAATCATACACCAAAGTTGGTTATTGATTATGATACGATTTCATAATTTAAAATTCATATATTTAAATAAAGAAATTATAAATCTATTTCAAAGAAGTAACAGGTCCATCAGAATAAATGATCGCATTTTGTGTTTTATTTGTTCATTATATAATAAATTTTATGGAAAAAATAAAATATACCGCAAGATGCAGCATGGCAAGCTCTACAATTTATAAAGAACAGCTTATTTTAAATATATGCCTTAAGTTTCCAAAAAAGACAAAAATACGTGTGACCAATATTCGACGCTGCAAATAAGATCATTTATTGGTACATGACAAAGTTCTTTTCTTATTTCATCCATTAATGGATCATAGTTTTTAACTTTTATACTATCAACCACTTTTCGTAGATCTTCACATTTCATTTCTTTTTATTAACTAACACAATTATATCGGTGTGATTTGTTATTATGAAGTTCGTCTGTCTCTCTAACAAATAACATTAGGGTGAGTGAAAAAAATATTTAATCAAAACATAAATCAATTGGTCTAAAATCAGCTATCGATTGTAACCTTCGACATGATTCATTAATCGAAAAAAATTAAAAGTGTATATTAAAAATGAACTGAGCTTTGTAGAATGTAAAGCTTTTCACGCTGTATCTTGTGGTATTTTTTTTTTAAATAAAACATATTAGATGATGAAAAAATAAAATACAAAACGTGGTCATTTATTCTAGTCCATCGTTTATTTTTATTCTGAATAAATAAGAGAATCGAACCATATTTTGAATACCTTTCCTTTATGCTAATCTTCATCTGCTATACATCATTTGTTAAGTGATTTCGTTTACTTATTACGATCTCTGTTGATGATATACGATGATTATCTTGTGATAGCAAAAGAGAAAGAAAATCATGTTGTTTTTTTTGTTCTTCTCGTCTAAAGAGAAGATATCATGTTCTCGATGTAGGTATTTTATTTGTTTTCAATAGAAATCGATTGAGTTTATTCCTATCATTGATATCAAATATCAAAGTGCAAAATTTGCCATTTAAACGATGATCATAAAAAAATAAAACACGAACAATACTTTATATGTCATTCATTTGTTTGTTTTTCATTTCATCGATTTGATTATCATGCACCATCTATTAACATTATTTCTATTTCTATTCATTTTTATTACATTTACATTAAGTTGGCCAACAAGAAAGCCGAAATTAAAATTCAATTCAAATAGTACATGTTGTATATTAGCTAAATTAAATATTAATTCAACACGTGCTAATCATGGTCGAAATTTTTTTGCTAAACTAATTCTCAATAATGAATCTTATAAAGATGTTAATGAAGATAATATTTGTTCATTGATGCATTTTTTTATGCAAGAAGCTGTACTTAATGGACGACCCATTACATTTTCTAAAGGTTTTTATAAAAAATATTTTCATATAAAATATATTATTTATCATTTATTTTCATAGGTATGTTTGTTTTATATGATTCAACAAAACAATTTTTTCATCGTTTAATGATGGCAAAAGATGCACAAATACATGGTAGTGAAGAGCATCGTTCAGGCTATTTTAAACGTTTAAAACATTTCGCACTTAGTTCTCTTAAATCAGTATTTCAATCAAAAAAATTAAATGAATCAATTCCATATGCATTTATTTATGTTCGTGGTGATGAGTCTTCACATTTTCGTGAAAGAGGAATTTCACAAATCCATAGAAAAACAATTTATCCAGCTTAGTATGGTGAAATTTAAATAATAATAACCAAAAAAGCTCTAATAAATAAATTTCATTTTAGTGGAATGGATGTTAAACATGCCTGCATGCCGAATGGTTTTGGTCATATTTTATTTGGAAAATTAAGAGATTTATATGGTAATGAATCAGATCCTTATTATGGTGATAGAATTTATATTAAACCAGAAGAATTTGGTCTTCAAAAATTTAAACATTATATTGGACGTAAGTTCAATTAATTCTTATATGAAATATGATATTGAATAAGTATTTAAATTCAAAGTTACAATTATAGAAGTCTACTTGTTATTAAAGATTGAAACAAGAAGCTTTACAAAGTGTTGCGAGAAAGGAAAAGATAATGTTCCTTACAGAATTTAAAGCATACGTCTGATGATTATCGAGGAAAGACAATATTACTATATAATAAGAGACACTGCTGTCTTGCCATATGTTGTCACGTCATGTTGATGCGTAAGATATAATACACTATTCACAGACAACCTTCCTTGTATGTGAATTCTCCTTACAAGCAGACGATTTTCTCTTTATAGAAAATGTTCACCTTCCTTCGTGCACGGTACTAATTTCATGAATAATTACGGGGAGACTCCCAATAGACTAACAAACGGACTATTCCTTGCAGACATCCCATCTATTTTTCTTTATAGAGAGTACTACACTCACAGCTATTTTTTGTAATCTATCATTGATAGCAAACAAATTCTCATTTGTTTGTGATGCTTACGGGGAAAGTCCCCTAACTAATTAATCGTTTTTAAGTTAAGATTATGCTTATCGTGAAGGTTCTAATGAACTATGAATATTCTGAAAAAATTCGGAGCTCTTAGCTCACAAGTGCACAGATATTACATTTCAATGATGTTTTTTTTTAAAGTCAATGTCTTGGTCATTCTCATAAACATTGGGAAAACTAATTTTTACACTTTGCATTTAAACTTTCTACAGAAACAAGCATTAACAAGATTAGTTTATTGTGAAATTTTCAGATCTTTTGATTTACTTCTTTTCTAAAATTAGAATATTGAATCTATCAGTCTATATCAACAATGTAAAAGACAAGATTTTAACATAGCAATAT